AACAGCATAGGTTGAGAAATTGGGGTTTTCTTACTCAATTATTCACTTACTCTGTAGATATCAGATATTTCAGATGCATAGTACCAAAGGGATTATAGAGTTGAATGGAGCACACTGGTGATTTCTAGAAGTCCTCAGTTGACTGGGCAGAGACCCATGAACAAATAACAAGAGGACAGGCTCTTAGAAAGTACAATTCAATGCATTTCCTCAATGCTAAATGATATGCACAAAGTGCTGAGAGTTACTGGCTAATGCTGGTTGGTTGTGGGGGGTATTGTACTGGATGCAACTGGTTTGCATCAGAGCATCCTGGAAGGAGAGACAATGCCTTTCATTTTCAGACTCAATCCTGCCCACATGCAGAATCAGTTCTGAAAAGAGCAGAAGGTGTATTAACTGTTTTACATCCAGAGCAGTTAGAGGCTGGAATTGCTTCTGTGTGTCTGACCACCCATGTTGGCATGACTCCAAGTAGCCCAGTATGAAGGAATGTACTAGAAGGAGGGAGTGTCACAGGGCTCCTTGTAGGAAATACCTTTAGGTCTCTATCTCTCTGTCTCTCCTCTCTGCCTCTCCAGTTCAGGACATAATATGGGCTTCTCTTTGTGTACTTCACTCATGATCTTGCCATCTTTGGCCTAGGTTTTTTGGCTTATTTGTCATCACGTATATGTTTATCAAGTCAGCTATGACTTCTGAGGATACACTCATATAACTATAGAGCTCTGGTGTGACTGCTATTTGGGTTGTCTATAGATTCAGTGTGTCTTCAAAAAGAGAAGGCAAATTCTGTTGACTCAGTTTGAATGAACTGCCCGCCTCTCTCCCAGGCAGCTGTGGTCAGAGCAGTGGTCAACGACTACTATGGTTGAAAACTCTTTGGCTTTCTTCATCATCAAGGGCTGTGAGTAGCATTAGCCCTGAAGTTAGTTTGGTATAACATACAGAGTCTACAAGTTGACCACACAAGGGACTCTAACAAACCTGTCAACATATAGAAGTGGTCAACATAAAGAATTGGGTCTACTATACTGATATGTACATGTGGTATATGTCCATTTTGTGAAAATTACATCAATTTAAGGAGGTAGTTAGTGTAGGGAGATGGTCAACCATGGAGGTTCTGCTGTATATCTACTGTTCATCAACTCTGAAATATGCCTTCATCTACAGTTTCCAGAGTTTAGGAAACTCCATCTCCAAAGTAGTTGTGTTCAGAGCAGTGGTTTTTTCCTTTATAACCAAGCTCTGAACTGCAGTGGAATTCAGCTTTCTTGATTGCCTAGTACGCTAGGCTGCTTAAGCTGCCATAGAAAAACATCACAGGCTAGATGGCTGACAAATTGATTCTAGTGCAGTTCTGGAGGCTGGAAGTCCTAGATCAAGGTGCAAGCAAGTTTGATTTCTAGTGAGGCTTCTGGCATAGGCTTGTAGACAGCCACCTCTCACTGTGGCCTCATGGGGTCTTTTGTCTGTGTTTGTGCTCTGCTGGTGTCTCTTCCTCTTCTTATGAGAACACCAGGCCTTTAGGATAGGGCCCCACCTATATGACCTCATTTAACTTTAATTACCTCCTGTGAGGCCCTATTTCCAAATAAAATCACATTAGGCACTAAGGCTTCAACATACTAGTTTGGGGGCATCCAAGTCAGTCCATAAATCTTATCTTAAAACTGGGAATCTCCCAGTGGTGGGAGTTCTTTCTTTCTGAAATTTTGCCTGTGTTCTAGGCAGGTTGCTACCAATGGGGTCACAATAGCCCTGTGAAAATTTTGGCCAACACTAAAATAGGCAAAATTAATCTAGAATAGCAGTTATCCCTAGGAGGTAGTGACCAGGAGGAGTTATGAAGCTTTTGAAAAGATTTTTTTTTTGCAGTTTTGACTGGGGTCAGGCTTGAATCCACCACCCCCAGTATATGGGACTGGTGCCATACTCCTTGAGCCACAGGCACTGCCCTGAAAAGCTATTTTTTTAATCGGGGTACTAGTTATACAGCTGTATTAATTTGTATAAGTGAAAATAATAATAATTAATAATAATTTTTATAAGTGAAAATTCTTCAACCTGAATACTTAGGACATGTGTCTTCTCTGTGTTTGTTCCAGTTATCTAGTGCTATGTAACAAATCATCCCACAACTTGTTGACTTAAGAAACAATATTACTTTTTCTCATGAATCTGCAATTTGGGCAGAGTTGGGCAGAGATAACTTATCTTTACTGCATTTATCATCAGTTGAAAGGCCAGAGACTGGGATTATCTGAGCTTGCTTAGTTCCATGTTTTATAATTAATGATGGCTGAAATTAAACTGAATTGGTTCTGGCTATTAGGTGAAACCTTAGTTGGGACTGTTGGCTGAAACACCTGCATGGGGCCTCCTCATGTGGTCTGAGACTCCTCACAACATGGCTGCTGGGTTCCTAGTGTGAGCATAGAGCATCAAGTAGAAGCTATGTTACTTTTTTATGACCTTGTCTCCAAAGTGTATTGTGTCAGTAGCCCAGAAATTTGTTCATCAAGACAGTCACAAAAGCCCAAGCAATTTCAAGGTGAGGAAATAACAGACTCTTTCTCTGGATGGGGAATGACAAAGTTTGGAAAGAGTATTGGGGACCACATATACTGCTGTGTCAAATTAAAAGAAAATCATGCTACAATTTTGTGCTCTAATAATAATCAAGGAAAATTTTGGCACAATAAAATTGGAATCAAATAACATAGTTTGGGAGAAACAAGTAGAGGCAAATAACAAATCAACTCGCCATCAAGAAGTCTAAGATTATGTCATGTATCTTAATCCACCCTTGATCTTCTAAAAAGCCTATCATAAAAGTCTGTGACATGTGACCATCTTACATGAAGTAAAAGAATAAATGAGAAGCTTACAGCAACCCAGATTATGTGGTAGACAAGTTATTGCACAGCGCTGGTTTAGACTTGTGTATTTTTTCCCAGTCATTTGTAATCATAGCAGGGAAAAAAAGAACATTATCTACAAAATAAGAGGCTGCAGCATGCAGGAAATGGAGCATGAAAAGGATTTGTGCTGTGATGTAGAGATTAGAAAGAACAACCCATGTGAATTAGTAAACGGCAAGCAGTCAGTACATTCAAGGGTAACTTCAGTGTAACTTTAAAGGATTTGTTACATGAAGAAACAGGAATTTTCCAAAGTAATATTAAATACTGACTGTTTTTATTCCCTAGAATGAAGCAGTGATTCCTTCACTGGAATGATGTGAAAAGCTTTTCAATGCCAAGATGAAGTCAGAGCTCATTCCCACTGGAACACTTGGATGCTATTCTCTAGACATTACACCCTCTTTGCTCCTCTTCAGGTCATGCCCAAACATATATGTGTCCAGCCTTGCCCCATGATGTCATCCAAAACCAACCCATCCATCTGTGCATTCTAGCTTAAAACTTCTGGCATTCCATCCCCATTTTTGGTGATTATCTGGGGCTCCTTTTGCTCCATTTGTAAAGTATTTTGGGCTCCAGGCATGTGTCATTGTACTTCCTGTCTTCCTCCAGTTTATCACGGTCCTGCCCCACCCCACCCCTTGAATTCCAGGGCAGACTTAGTTTTCTCCATTTTATCTTTGAGAAATGGATCTCTTTCTCTTGGAATTTCTTATCCTAGGCCACTTTCAATAATTACTTCATCTGCTCAAGGGCTGGCCCTTGGATCCCATCCTAACATCAGTCTGAGAGGTCAGCAGCACTCATCTGAGATAGCTGGCACTGTGTGGGTTGTAACCTGGTATGACTGAGAATGTGTAGGGTGTGAGATCAGGTGCAAACAGTATGGAAGCCAGTCAGGATAACGGCACTGCTGACATCTTCATAGGTACTTCAAGATATTTTGTAAAAATCTTAAAAATTGAAATTGAATTTTAATGATTTTCAGAAAAGAGTCAGGTATCGAATCTTAGGGACATGATGAGCCCCCTACCCCAAGCTTAGACCAGGCCCTAACCCAGCTCTCTCTTCCTTCTAGCTCAACTTAAGTGTGTGGTCAGGTCTAATCGCCTGTAACGCATTCTCTGCAACATAGCTTTTGCATTCTCAGTTAACACTTGCTAGTTGGATTAAAAGGCATCTATTAATCTCCTTTATCATTAAATTATTCAGACCTCAAAATTATATACTCTCAGAAAAAAGTAAGTATTGTCCAAATGGATTTACATTTTCAGTGCATTTCTCTCTCCAGTGGTGCCTTTTGGCACTGTGAGCATGAATGGAAACTGTGCATGGCTTCTCATGGGTGGAGCAGTGAGGCACCTCAACTCACCATCCAGACTCTACCCATATGGCTCCTTCACTCTCATCCTCCAATAGCTTCTGATCTTCTTACCCTCTGAAAAAGACAACTGCTATATTCATGATCAAGTTGGGTAAATTAAAGATAATTTCCTCTTTTTCTAAGCCAGCTGTTTCTTTAGGATCCAGACGGGGTGAATTCTCCTTGTGTCCTCTTCCCACTACGCCTCCAACCTACGCCCACCCAAGCTGAGGGTGGAGGAGACCAATCATTTACCACTTGACTTTTGCTTCCTTCTCTTGGAGGAGGTCAGTATTTTCACATCAACTGTCCATCAATTGCTTCTCTGTCAGCATTTCACCATGACTGGGTTGACCTCTCTTTAAGAGCCTTGCTACTTTAAAAACATAGGGAGATATTTGAGGACCAGGTTAAGGAAGGCCCTTGGATGGATATATAATAAGGCATCATCTGTTAATGAATGTCAGTTAAAAACCTAACACCACATTTTTTCATCTTTGAGTTCTTGGGGAAAGTTTTGAAAAGCCTTATCTGAATAAATAGCCCGAAATCCTTGGAGAGGTTGACAATTTAATTAATTCCTCAGATGGTCATTGTGATCCTATGAGGAGTAAGACACTGACTGTCTTGATTCCATCTTGCTCAGCTAAGGAGAGTTCATAATGGCACCTTCCTCTTCAGGGTGATGTGTTTTAATGAATGTATTTATAAATATGGAATGCTTCATGCATTTGTACATCATCTTTGCACAGGGGCTATGCTTATCTTCTCTGTACCGTTCCAACTTTAGTATATGTACTTAAGGTGAGAGCAGGGTGAGGTTTAAACAGAAAACAAGAAGGAAGTACCGGGTGCAGAGTAAACCTAGGAATGGCCTATGGTAGGTTGTCCTCTCTTGGAGCTTCGAGATGATTCTAATCTAGCAAGGAGGCTAAACAAAACAAAACTAAACAGCAAAGATTGTGCCATTAAACAAAATACGAGAAATTTCATAACAGAAGGCCAAACCCTGGATTGTGGGAGGTCAAAGGGAAGGAAAACTACCTGAACATGAGAGATTCCCTACATAGCTGGGGTAGCTTTTACTCTGGAGGTTGGAGAATGGGTAGAATTTCCATACATAGGGATGTAGCTAGCAAATTCCAGACTATGTATATAAAACAGGGTTTCAAGCAGAGCCAGTTGTTGTTCTGAACTACCTGGGCATGCCAGGGAGGGTGGAAGTCAATGTACCATAAGGACTGAGGAGATTCTAAATGACCTTTTATCCCAAGAGATAGAGGAAGAATGAGCCCATCCAAGAGGAGCCATGATGAAAGCACAGCTGTATGCTAACAGAGATTAATCTGTAGCATATGTAAGCAATTGAGTGCTGATGAAGTGGTAAGGATGCCACTGAGGAAGTCAGGTCAAGGGTCATGAGCTGTCCCAGTAGGGCTGTGTCCAGGGAACTTGGAGGAAGGCCCTTGTGGCTGGTGAAGACTTCATGTAGCAGGCACTGGGGCTGGCTTGGAGATGTGGCTGGAAGTGTGTTTGAACAGCCAGCTCAGGGTCCTAACTGAGACTGCATCTTAGCTATTAGCAGAAGCTGTGAGTGTAGGGGGTGCTCCTAGAGAGATAGTATCAGGGTAAATTACCCCAAGATTCACATTAGCTCTTTCCCTAGAAGAGAGAATGAAGGGGAATTGGAAACCAAAATTGTTCTCACCTTTCATCTGTCTTAATTAGGTCTCACACTTCTCTTTTTTTCCTGTGTAAAATAAGAAGAATGATGGGATGTCATGCAATGCCACTTTATGTTATGAGTCTTTCAGTTTTACACATTTTCCTTTTAAAAAAATCTGGGAGATCTTGCCATTTTTGTGGTCTGTGTGGTTGCTACCAGAGGCTTCGGGAAGCCAAAGGGTGGTTGCAGCTATGGCTTTGAGATGGATTTTCTGAGTACCCAGCTGTACTGCTATAACATCCTAGAACTTCTTTTATTCCTGCTCTTTTAATAGTACACACAATTCATGTTACATTCCAAACTGAAGTAGAGTTGGCTATGGTTTGAAAATTTGTGCCCTCCAAAATTCATGTTGACATTTAATCCCCAGTGTGGCAGTACTGAGAGGTGTTTGGGTCATGAGGGTTCTGCTCTCATGTATGGATTAATCTAGTCATGGATTAATGGATTATCGTGGGAGGTGAACTGGTGGCTTTATACAAAGAGGAAGAGAGACCTGAGTTGTCACTCTTAGTCCTCTCACTACATGATGCCCTGTACTGCCTCAGGATGCCACAAAGCATCTCCATCAACAAGAAGGCCCTCACCAGATGTGAGCCCTTGATCTTGGCCTTCTCAGCCTCTGTAACTGTAAGACATAAATTCCTTTTCTTATAAATTACCTAGTTTCAGGTATTTCAGTAACAGAAAATATGCTAAGATAATTGACACATAGAATACACAAGAACTGTTGCAATAATATTTAGTCCATAGTTTTTGCTGGAAAATAATGTATAAGACAAGAAACATTTGTGTTTTATGCTGACACCCTCAGAGTACCCAGCTGCCAATTCTGCCACTGATTCCTGTCATTTCAGGTGCCTAATTTTTCTTTACTTATCAAGTCATGCCTCTGAACATTAGATAGAATTTAAGGGAAGTGTTCTCTGCAAGATCCTTTAACTCTTAGTTATGAAACTGTCCAAGGCAAGTTCTAATATTCATGTACAGCATGTCTAGAAGAGGCAAGGAAAATGTATAAACCTTTGATATTTTATTTTATTATAAAAGCAAATGTATAATTAACTTGAAAAAATTATACATTAAATATCAATATGTTCATGTTCATGAACTGGAATCTTCTGTTAACATTTTACCCTTTTTGCATTATCACATCTCTGTCATCTGTCCATTCATCCATTTATCTTATTTTTGACACAATGTAAAGTAGGTTGCAGATATCTGAACACTTCCCCCCAAATGTTTCACCCTTGCTGATTTTAATTATTATATTCCAGGCTCTGAGCTAAACATTTCATGTGTTATTACCTCATTTCCTTTTCACAGTGATCCACAAGCTTGGATCATCTCCATTTACCTATTTTCTCCACTGTACAGATTTGAACATAGGTGTATACGACTTTAAAGTACTTCAATAAATACAATAGAACTCATATCCAATGTTGGACAGCACCACAAGGCATAATCAGATTGTAAAACTCCAATCCAGCTATAAAATTAGGCTTGATTCTCACTGATAATAGACTGATCACTAAGGTTTGGGATGCATATAGCAAGATTTAGGTTGAAAATGGGTGAAAGAGGAAAAGCAATGAGGACAGAATGAGAGTCCGAATCTCAGGGAATCTAAGGCTGTCATTAGTAAGGACTGATATAGAATAACAACTAGGAAATCAGACCACGTGTGCTGGAAGTTTAGGTGAGGAGGAGAGTCTCTCTGTATTCCTTTCCCTTTCTATTCCACTCATCTCAAAATTCCAGTAATCTGCACTGTAAATCTAAACTGACATCCCTAAGTGGGATAAGTGATGCCATCATTATGATCAATAGGCAAGTACCAAGTTCAAGGTGCCCCATCAAAAACACATAAGGCTAGTTATCCACACTTTGGGACTGACATTTCTGTTGTGAGAAGCTTCCATGTGGTACAGAAAATTATAGCTCTCTACATACCCTTCGGTCACCTCTACCATCCCCTACATCTTCCCAATTGCCTTCTAGTTAGATGGATATGTATAAGGCTGGTTTTGGCAAATGGGCTGTGAACAGGAGTGTTGTCACATTCCATGCCCACGTGTTTAAGAGTTGGCACATGACTTTCCAGCAGACTCTTGCCCTGCCACACATATTATAAAAAGCCTTAAGACAGTGGAGCCACAAAAAAGAAAGTGCTAGAATCCCTGAGTCACTACTTAGAGTGGGCTTCCTTGGAAAGCTGGAAAATCTTCAGCAAACTTTGTGCAAATAAAAAAAGTGAACCTTTATATTTTAACCATTGGAATTTGGAAGTTTGTTTGTTATTGCAGCAAAGATTAGCTTATTCTGACTAATGCACTCTAATGAAGTAATGAATAGAGAAAGCCAAGAGGTGAGAGAGTACTCTAGGGTAGAGAGGGAAAACTCCACAGTAAACTAGGGAATTAAAAGACAGGACACACAGAGTCTGTAACATATTCAGGATTTGCTGTGGGCTCCAGGCTGAAACAACAGATGAATTTGATGAACCCACACTCAAAGTTGCTTTCCTCCAATTAAAAATCCAGAGAGTAATTCTGTGATCTTCTGAGGTGCTGATTTGCTCCATTCTAAACTTCTCCTTTCAAAATTGTTCCTTTAAACTCAGCCTGTCTTGTTGTAGCATAAGGTCTTCTTGTTCCTAGAATAAAAAATACAGTTGCTCACTATCACCCATAAAATATTGCTTCATTAACTTGAAGACTGTAATTAACTACATATCAGCCTTCTGGCTCCAGGCAAATATCCATAATTCCTTTAGTCTTTCCTCACAGTCTGCTTTGAACCTGTTAATCATTTCCCATGTCCTCTTACCATTATCAGTAGAAGGAAAAAAAATAAAAAGTTCTTAGAAGCACAGCACATGTGGCACTCTGTGAGGCACTTTGTAGATGCTCTCGCATTAGACGGAACCAGATTCACATGCAAGTACACATGAGCACAGGTGCACATGTGTGTGTATTTATGTGTGTATGAACAGATTTTTTTTTAAAAGATAGGCTAATAGTCTCGATGAGCAGAAAACAAGAAGATTGTTTATTCCCTAAATATTTCATATGTGACCATTTCAAATAACAAACTCCCCTGTGTGGTCTTTAAAAATGAGATTTAATTTGTCCCTCTCTAAAAATACTTATAATGATTTATTTTGCCAAAGTGTTGACTGCAAATGCAAGTCTGTTTGTAGAAGAAATTCCCTGACCCCTGAAAGCAATTTTATGAAATATAATTGTAGCAAAACAAACAAATAAAAATCTGAGAGAAGAATAAAGGGAGGGGTCCGGACCTCAATCTACTAAGCTTGATGAGATTTGTCTAGAGGAAAGCAAATGAAAGCTGTCATTAGGGAAAAAGAGATAATCTGGTGGCCTTGGGAAGGGCGTTTACTCCTCTCTAGGGGAGGAAGATGAGTAAATAATAGACAGGGGCAGATGGAAGGGGGGAAGGGTACTCTATGCAAACATGCAGCTGTGGCCACGTACTGCCTAGTGTGGTGTGTTAGGACAGCTGATTGATGCTGCTGTGACAAACTCCTGGCTTAGAGGCCTGTTAGGCTTGCCTGTGATTAGATCCAAGGGCCATTATCACCTGAGTACACTATAGTTAAGAGTCAGCTGATGAATTTGTTACCATCCCATCCACTCGATCAGTAGGTCTGGAGTGGGCCCAGGGATTAACAGTTTAACACCCCCCCAGGTGAATTTCTTGTTGGTGCCTGAAAGGAACAGAAGTATAAACAAGACTTGGCAATAATAAGAGGGTTGGCTGATGGCTTCAGTATTCCCTGAAGAAGAAAGAAGGAACTCTACATCACTGGGCACAATGGCACCTGTTAGGACAGGGGAGGCTGCAGCAACAATAGTAGTAAAGGAATTATGTCTTGGGAAGCGGACGGGGGTAGAAACTTCTGGAAATGGTACTGCACCCACAAAAGGCAGAGGCCCCTGCAGACTGGAAACTCCAAAAGGGTGGAAGTTGAGACAGTTTGGGATACTATTATTATGGCAAGTACTCAACAGAAATCGTTGAATTGAAGTGGAAAATAACCCAGGGACCTGGAAGCTGGAGGGA